ATATTGGAACAAGCGAAACTGCAGAACAGTGTGGTATTGATGATCCGGGCTTTGATATTAGGAGTTCAGTATTTAACTCTGAAAGTTCAGAAGATAGTGATGAATACATTGAATTTGAACCTCCAATTGTGAACTCAAAGAATATTGTCAAAGAAAGTCCTTACAAAATCGAGGAATCACATGAAGTCGAGAGCGAAGTGATGGCATTCGTTGACAATTTACAAGAAGAGGCTTCAAACAGTAGGTCGTGGGATTCAGATTCCGAGGATGATGATGAATACGATATCCTGTTAGAACACCAGCATTTAGTACAACAAATGAAAATGGAGCTAAAAAATTCCAGAAGCAAAGGGCTTCCAACTATATCAGAAGAATGTGAAACTCCTAAGATGGTAGAAGATTTAAAGCCTCTAAAAATTGATGACAAGTTTGAGTACAAAGATGTTATGGAGGAAATTCAGAAGTTTTACAAGAGCTACAAAGAACGAATGCGCAAATTGGACATCTTGAATTACCAGACTTTAAATGCTATCAGTAAGTTAAAAATTAAAACCTCTGTTTTCATTTTCACCAATTTGGTTTTAAGTCTATAAAAATTAGTTTAATTTCAGTGAAGAATGAAGTTTGAGATATTTTGTGGTTAATTAGTAATTATAATTATATTCTGTGTATAGTCATTATTTGGCAATTGGAATGCTTCTGCTTAAATTACTGGATTAATGAGGGTGGTTGAATAGATTTTGATATTTTCTCATTGAATAACACACATAATTAATTATTATTCCATCCAATCACAGTAAAGATTATACATTAAAGGGTTCTTGAAAGTGACTACATAGCTGATGTATTCACTTTCTTTGGAATCAAGACCTCTTCTTTAAATTTAAATCTATCCCTATTTGTTCAATGCCTCTGTCTTTGTAGTCTAATTTTAAAACTCTTCAAAGCATCTGCCTCTGTAATGTGCTGATCAATGTCAAGTCAGCTTAAACACTTTACTCAAATAAAATAATTTGTTCTCTAAAGGCATCCACAATGAAAGATGAAATAAAGAAAGAAAGGGGTCCTTTTTTTAATATGGAATAATAGAAAACAATTAATGTATTCTGATGTTTTTGTTAAACATCTTAGGTTTCCTCCAGCTGAAGGATTCGGAAGTATTTCCCTCGGTCAAGAAAAAATCAGCTTTAACACTAAAACCAACTTGGCCAATGAAAGTACACAGAGTTTGTGTTGATCCAACACGTAAATCGATTGTCGAAATGCATCGGGATTTAGAATTGGTGTATGTTGGACAACTTTGTCTTTCATGGGAAATTCTGTGCTGGCAGTACGTAAAAGCCAAAGAGTTACTCGAGTATGATGCTCAGGGGTTTCACTCTTATAATCGAGTAGCTGAGGAATTTCAACAGTTTCAAGTACTCATGCAAAGATTTACGGAAGATGAACAATTTCAAGGTCCCAGAATTCAAAACTACGTGAAGAACCGGTGCTTGATTCGAAGTCTTCTTCAGGTCCCAATCATCAAAGGTAAGAAAAGAAAAAAAATCTCTGAATAATTAGACAAACTGAAAATGTATTCTAATTAGCAGATAAGCTTCAAATTGCCTGCAGATGATTGCTTGAAGGATAAGAAGGAAAGAAGAGAGGAAACAGATGCAATTTCACTTGAATTGATAACCGAGATCATTAGCGTATCAATGCTAATTTTCTGGGAATTTCTTCATGCTGATAAGAGCACGAAAACTATTGACTTAAAGGGCATTCAAGAAGCTAAAATTGATCTTCGAGAACCCGCAGATTCAGAGCTTATATTGGATATCATTACGAACCTTCAAAAGGTTCGTTTTCTATTTTCTTGATATATTCAGCGACCTTTCCTCTAGTTAGCATGTACTGTTTAACCATTTTTTCATTGTAAATGCAGAAGGAGAGAAGACTTAAAGAAATCGCAAGAAGTCGTAATTGCATAGTGAAGAAGTTTCAAAAGCACCGAGAATGTCAATTGAATAACGCGCTTTTCACTTCTCGGGTGGAGTTGAGATTGGTATCGAAAGTACTAGGTTTGTCGAGATTAACAATGGATCAATTAGTATGGTGTCAGAAGAAACTCAACAACATTAATTTTGCGAGCAGAAAGGTCATCGTGGAGCCTTCGTTTTCGCTTTTTCCTTGCTAAAATCTCCAGTTGTTGCCTGTAAATGATACATATATTCCACTTGTAGATTCTGGTTTTCAGTGATAAAATGAAGCCAGTATACAGGAATTTCTCATGCAAAACTAGTCGCATTATAGTCTAGTGAATCAGTAGGGACATAGTATGCAGATAATGTATGCACAATGTTTGATATGTGCATTCCCTGTCTGATTCTGCATTTCAGATTAGGACAGTTTCCAATGTTCTGTATTACAAGTTAATACTCCTAAGAATATGCAAATGAACAAAAGAACAATTTTAGCACATAGCAGTGGACAGTATCTAACTTTTTTTTTCATTTTTAGCACTTTGAGTCCACTGGTCATGCCAAAAATGTAGCCTAAGCTTACACAATTTGATTTTGATTCGTTGAGAATTACCTCCCTCACATACTCATTTTAATCACATATTCTAATTATCTAATATATATATATATATTTTTTTTTTTTTTTTTTACAAAATTTTTTCATGAATTTATCCTACTTTTTAATCAAACATTCTGAAAATAAAAACAATTTTCAAAATAGCAGCTTAATTGTTCAAATCAAGGGTCAAAATAAATGTCACCTCATCATTTAATATATAATGTACATTTATGATTTTCAGTGTGAGTCTTGTGGGATATATACTGTATCACTTGCCCTTGTGTTTCAATAATAAATAATCTATAATATATTAAAAGTATGGATTTGGGAGAAACTTTTGAATATCAAATTTACCCTTACATATTTAGTTATATGTCAATTATACCTTTATATATTTAATATAGTTTCATTTAATATAATTTAACTTCATTTCGTATCCATTTAAGTGTTTTTTTAATTTCTATAAATGGTTAATCGAGCGTCCACCTTGGGCAAACTAGTTTATGAGGCCATCCTCACCTCAAAGGCCATCACTTGAGCACATTAAACAATGTCTGTTTTTCAATTTCATTTTGAATTAGTGCTATTAATCCAATTAAAATAATTTTTTTAAACATCAACATTTGAGTTCCTTAAACAATACCCATTTTTCAATTTCATGTTGAATAAATTAAATTAATGTTGTTAATAAAAATCCCTTATATATTTAGTTGTATGTCAATTCTATCCTTATACATTTAATATAATACCATTTAATTTAATTTAACTTCATTTAATATAATACCATTTAATTTAATTTAACTTCATTATTTAAGTATAATGCTCATTATTTAATATTGTTTAATTACTTAAATTACATTATTTAAATTAAGTTTACCACTTAAAATCTAAGCTCAAATGTATAGTTATAATTTTATTATAATTATATAATAAAATATATTAAAGGTTTCATTAATATATTGGTAGATTAATTATCATATAAAATAATATTTATTATATTTTGAAAATGATTATATATGCAGACAAGCATTTATTTTAAGTGATTGCACTTAATTTAATTAGTATAAAATTATAAATACTGCAATATGAAAAATGAATTCTATACTTAAAAGGAGACTACATGAAATTAAATTTTAATTAATCTATCATTAAGTTCATCTTTAATATATTATCATGTTAATTTATATGTACATGTATATATATTATATTATTTATTTTCATATACGTGAACTTGACTTTATATTATAATGTTAATTTATATGTACGTGTATATATATATTATATTATTTATTTTCATATACGTGAACTTAACTTAAAATCAATGTTCATCTACTTATATAATTATATTATAATTACAATATTTATAAAAATAAAATGTGGAGATAGATGAGAAATGTTCGCATAAGTTTTAAGAATAAAACTTTATTTTATTTCATTGATTGAAAGAGTAGTACATATAGGTATATATATCAAGGGAAACTATAGAAATCTTAACTATCCTAGAAAATAGAAACAATTTAACCTTCTAACAAAAAAATATCTTTCAGATATCTTTCATATTAACAGAATATAAGAGATAAGATTAGAAATCTATCAAATTTATTCAAATGCAAATAAACTTATCCTAACTTTTTGACACTTTCCCTCGAGTTGGTGCATAGATATCTATCATACTCAACTTGCTAATCATATGTTCAAAATTTGCTCTTTGTAGTTCTTTAGTTAGAATATCTGCAATATGTTGAGTGGTTGGTACAAGCGGTAAGCAAATAACACCAGATTCAATCTTTTCCTTAATAAAATGCTTGTCGACTTCCACATATTTAGTTCTATAATGCTGAACTAGATTGTGTGCTATGCCAATTGTGACTTTATTATCACAGTATAACTTCATAGGAATCTCAATTGGTTTCTTCAATTCTTCCATAACTCGATTTAGCCATAGATTTTCACAAACACCAAGAGCCATTGCTCAAAATTTAGTTTTTGCACTACTTTTGGCTACAACATTTTGTTTCTTGCTTCGCCAAATTACTAGATTACCCCAAACATAGGTGCTATACCTAGATGTAGATCTTCTATTAATTACAAATCCAGCCCAATCTGCATAAACGTCAATCCCTCGATGCTCACTTTTTCTTGAAAATCAATCCTTTTCCAGGAGTATTTTTTAAGTATCTCAAAACTCTATACACAGCATCAAGTTGTTCTTCATATGAAGTATGCATAAATTGACTTACTATACTGGCAGCAAAGGCAATATCCGGACGAGTATGAGACAAGTAAATTAACTTTCATACCAACTTTTGATATCCTATAGTATCTACTGAAACACCTTCCTTTGTTTCTCCAAGTTTTACATTAGGATCCATTGGATTCTCCGAAGGTCTACATCCACTCATTCCTATCTCCTTCGACAAGTCTAAGATATATTTTCTTTGGGATACAACAATTCCCTTCTAAGATTGACCAATTTCCATCCCAAGAAAATACCTTAGAGCTCC